AGAGTGAAAGTGGTTTTTAGTAATGTCTCGTTAAATAAATCTGTGTCTGCACAGTAAACAACTTTCTACAGAATAAAACCTATAACCTTTTATATAAATGTCAGAATAAAACTATTTTAGGATAAAGAACAAACGAGAAAGTTCCACACTGTTTATATTTTTGTTCCTATCAGATTAGTAAGTCATTTTACTTACTTTCAGACTGTAAATGGTAGGTATAGGAGGCCATAGAACTTACCATCCCAACTGACTTTTCCCTTAAACCTTTCTACTCTTTCTTTCACGTCTAGATTGATAACGCATCTCTAGTAATTTAGATGAAGGTAATCATATAGTCATCTCGCTCGCACACAGAAAACACACGAGTGTACCAGAACTAAGCGTGGTACTAACCAAGTTATTCTATGTTCTAGAATAAGACAGATAAGGTCTATTTTTAAATTATAAATCTAGATATAATCTTATTGATATTATAAATGCGAATGTTTAGGTGAACGGATGTTTGGAGGTATCTCCGGGACGTCTGTATCTCGCTGAAATGGACGAACACGTAGGCTACTAATTCGCGGACGTAGTCGCGGGCGACAGCTAGTTATGAATAAGATTGTTGGTTCCGAATTCTTAGGAAACAAAAGGTTATGTTTATTTAATAAAAGGCTGTCTGTAGAGGCGACCTTGCGCCTTGCTATCCGGGTCATTGGCGGGGTCAAGGTAAAATTGTGACGGTTGTCCGAGATTGTTTTATTCACGTCAAACTAGACGACCTACATAATTATATTATCAATATGTGATATATATCGTAATTCTTAATGATAAGTGTAACACGTTGAATGCTCTACGATTTTGTCTGAACACGCATGAAGAGTCAGTGGCACTGAATGTGTTAACACAAGTCACATGTTAATAATAACTGATATCACAATGTATATCAGTTTGTAAGAGTAACCGTAGCTTCTGAGACCAAATCAACAACATCTTGTTATCTTTATTTGTCAATGATAATGACAGAGATGACGATATGTTTTATACAGAAATTTTGAACTCGGAAATCAAGGATAAAAAAATTGCAATATTATATATAATATTGTTATAGGCTTGAACAGTTAGACTTAAATGGATGACAGAATGAGAGCACAGCAGTCTCCATACATTAAATTGTTTAAGCACCCAACAAACTTATATAATCTACGTAAATGTTGAAAAACCGTTAGCTGTTTTGGAAGCATAAAATTCAAATTCGAAATTGGAACTCGAAACGCGTGAGAACGGCCAAGGAAATTATAAAGTTTATTGACTTATTGCAAATAAAACAGCGTTAAGAGAATGTCGAAACAGCCCTACACAAAATGCCAGCTGTAACAACACCAGCCGCCATCTTGTTTTTTTTTCTTTTCAATAAATACGATTTCTTTCTCACCAGCGCTACACTGAATGCAGTTTCCGCTTGCACGGTGAAATTAAAAAAAGGTTTCACAAAGAACTTCGACTCTACGAACAAATCTGTACAGATTATTAAAAAAAAAATTAATCCTAACAAGTATATCACAATTTAAAAAAAAATGTTTTCTTTAGTAAACTTAATATTAATCTAAGATTTTTTTGTCAATTTTTAGAGTTGTTCTTAGAAAAGGTACTTCCAGTGGTCGACATTTAAAATTGTTATTTGTGCTTCTCGGAATACTAGATATTATAACTACACCAGCCTATTTCCGATAAAAATAAAATACGCGAGAACATAATTGCTTCTTTATGTTTGAAGAATAAAAACCGTTTTATATGTTGTAGAAATTCTAAACTTCGTAATTAACCAATTGATTATAATTGACCGGGACAGTGGGGACAGTGGGGACAGTGGGTTGGGGGGTTCAATCGTTCAGTGCTGCGGAAATAATTTGACAAATCACTGCATTTTTGTGCCTTACAATAGACCGGCACTTCAGTCGTATTGTCCGTTTGAATTATCAAAGGTTTTGTGTCGTAAAGTGCATGTTCCAATTGTACAAGTATGCAGTTCCGATTACGGAGTTATTTGTACACTAGCTATAGCCCGCAACTCCATCAGCGCGAAATTTAAAAAAATAATAGTAATCTAAGTGTTATTTTTGATTATCGACCCGGGTACCGTCGTTAAACTGCGTCCAGACCACCGGAGGACGGGCAGCAGCGTCCCTTATAATAAACGGTGGCAAACACTGCGATCGCCAACCCGCCTGCCAAGCGTGGCGATTACGGCAAATTCCACCAAGTATGATGGCCACAAATGATGCACGGCCCCCAGTACCCGGCAGCACCGCCGTTCCTGGTTACGGTAGCGGCCAGGGTGACGGCGGAGCAGGGGGTGCTAAGAATCCCCGGTTCGGATACGGCTACCGCACACGACGACCTTTGGCCCTGGCAACACTGAACACGCGCACACTGCGGACGGATTAATTAATTAATAATGAATAATCGTCGTACTGCAGATACCTTCTAACAAACATCCATCTAAACATTCGCATTTATAATATTAGTAAGATTATGTTAATGCTCAAGTGCGTTACCCATAGGGGTAAGCACAAATGCCAGGAATGTGTGATATTGGTCTAACTTCACCAATGAGTTTCTACATTAGTGCATCCATGTCAAATGGTTGTTTGAAACTTGCCTAAGCCTGTCATTTACATCTTGATTGTATCCAAATCCATCAAACAATACATTTTCGTACAGTTTTTAGAAAATTTTATAGAAAAAAAGTCGTTTTTGTTTGACGTAGACAGCGCAATAATTAGACGTCACAATTCGTGAAGTCTTTTCAGTAAAACTATCCCGCAGCGACACGTCTGTTTAAAGGCAAGACTGGTGAAAGATTAATCCTCGTTGTTAAATGCATACTTATGTGATTGAAGGATTTGTTGCTAGCCTTTATAACAAGAGTAGGATAAAAAGGTAAGGAATTGGAAGAAAATAATATATAGTTTATTGTTGTTAAAAATTGCAGGAACGAGTTCGTGCTTTGTGATCTGGTCTACATATGTTTGAACATGTTAAGTTGTGGGTTACCACAAAACAATTTCCTCTGAAGTAACACAATAATTTGTATGTATCTGTAGAACGGAATTCAAAATACTTTACCGTTAGAAATCATTTCAAATATATTTCTTAAAAAATAATATAGATGTCGCTGTTTTTTACTCACTAATAAGGTTAAACTTTTTAAAATAAACCGACGAAATTAATAAAATCACACCCTGTATTATAAATACATTGTTTAGTGACTCGATATCTCAGTTTAAATCTGCACGTCGTAAAATTTGCGAATTGTTGCAAAATATTTAGTAAACAAAAGATTATTTCCAATGGCTATTTACAAAATATCAACTACTCTAATTGTACTAAGGCAATTACATACAAGCGTTTGCCCTGGTTGTATTTTAGAAAAAAAATCTCTAGGACATATAATTTTATAAGTGACTGGCTGCCGCAACGACTTCGTCCGCCTGGTATTAAAAAAAAAAACTTTGTAGTCTATGCGTTCTTCCAGACTAATTCTACATCTATGCCAAATGACAGCGAGATCCATGCAGCTATTTTGGAGATATCTTCTAATAAACATACATCCATCCAAACATTCGTTCATAATATTAGTAAGATGTCTTATTCTATTTTTAATCAAACTTTGCTCAATCGAAGATTAGTAAAAAAGTTAACAAAAATATTCTCGACATTGTGATTGGTTTAAATCTAATTTAACTGTAAAATGGTGCAATACCATTGAATAGTTCTTACATCATACCCACTTCGTTGCATAAATTCATTCTGTATAGAATTTAAAATGGTAATTCGATCGTTGTATTTCTTAATAGTAAAACCAAAATGGCGGCAACGTGATGTTCGAATGTCAGTTTTAATTTATGAAACATTAATAATAATACCAATTTACACTAACTGCCGATAGAGTCGTTAAATGGTTCCTCTTAGTGTCGATTTCTGGTATTAAATCTACACTAAGGGGTTTCCTGAGCGACTAAAATTACAACTGACGAACAAGAGTAAATGCAACAACTTCTTCGGAAGGTCACTTGGATTTTAACATACTTATATTTCTTTTACGTTATTTTTGAACAGAATATATGGAAACTATTCATTACTAGCTGTCGCCCGCGACTCCGTCTATGCGAAATAAAAAACTTAACTAGTAGCCTATGTGTTCATACTATTTTCTACGTCTATGACGAATTTCAGCGGAATCCATGAAGTCATTCTGGATGTACCTTCAAACAAACGGATGTTTGTTTGAAGATAGATGGATATCTATCCAAACATTCGCATTTAGGTATATTATTAATAGGTTTACAAGCGTTTTCTTTGTCGACCAGTACTTACATTTTTATAAGAATTTTCAGATATTAATTTTCATTTTTATTTTTTAAATATGATCAATAAAGGCAACGGGTGATGCTATCTTTGTGGTATATACCGAATCATGTATGTAAAATTTGTAGATTTTTTTTTATTTATAACAACTGCATAGCATCCTTATATAATATTGGATACAGGTCAATGAGTTTTGGAATTTCACATACACCTTTATCCAGAAATTCCTTACCTCCTTGAAGTGAATTCCACATTCTTGCTGCAACGTAAGCCTATATTAAGATGGCGACAATCTGTCTTCTATACAATATATCGATATTTTAGCTCATATCAGTTTAAAATCTTTATTAAGTGTATAGATGAATAAATCTATAGAACTGTCAATAACTTACAATAAGTCACGTGATTGTCGCGTGTCAGTTCTATACACCTTGAAACTCTTTATAGAATCAGTTCAATCAAGCATAAAATATATGTGCTTTTTGCTAGGCCACTAGTAAAAATCATATAGTTGTCTCTTTCCTTTCAAAGAAAATGACAGAGGTATCAATATATTTAAACAGTGGAAACTAACAGTAACATTTGTCCCTTTCATCCCGGTAAAGATTGTAAAGGACGCCTTACAATTTTGTTTTGTTTATTTACAGGTTTCCATTTGAGTGGTGTGGTGCGCGCGCCAGCCGCGGTTCCTCCCTGCTCCGAACCAGAAAGGCTATTTCGAGTTACAGTATCATTTGACAGGTAAATAATACTCGCCTGGAGAGTCCACTAATGTCAAATTCGTGGCATTCAACGTGTTATTTACTAAGAAATTCGATATTAATATAATTGTCGAAACTCACATTTATTTTTAGTGCATAGTACAAAACTATCTCCATACAAGGTCATAATTATAAGGTACGTCCCCAGTATTAGGCTCGGAGCCTACCTTAAGTTTGGGGTGACTAGGCCATAGTCAATGCTGACCTAGTGCGTGTTGACTTCACACATGTCTTTTAATTTCTTCGTAAATATATACAGGTTGTAACACGATGATTTTCTTGACTGTAAGAAAGTCGGATAATACGTGATAAATCTAAAAACACATTAATACATGTCGGTATTCAAACCCAGGATCTGCATATTATATACCATGCTTAACCACTGAGCCACCGACGCTTATACAACTTACAATAGTGCCAAAAAATACATTAAAGAAAATTCTCAGTAAACAACGAGACACACGCAAATAGTGGAAGAGCATTGTTCACGGAGAAGTCATACAAAAAGGATTTCATTAAAGCGAAGGACCAGCCAACATAATAGTCTTTGTTAGTTCACACTTCACCGGTTTTTTGTAACATTTGATTGTATCGGACATAATGCCCAAAGAAACTGTTCGAAAGTTTGATTACCACGGCCGTGGCGTGCAATATAAAGGCCTTCGTTTTACTCTTTTATTATGCGTCTTGTTTGGCTCCATAGACAAGAAATATATCTCAGAACTAGCTGTCGAAATTAAAAAAAAAACTTAATTAGTAGCCTATGTGTTCTTCCAGACTATGTTCTACATCTATGCCAAATTTCATCATGATCCATACAGACGTTTTGGAGATACCTTCTACCAAACATCCATCCATTCATCCAAACATTCGCATTTATAATATTAGTAAGATAAACGATAAAAGAGCATAAAATCACAGACTTTTAGCGACTAGTTCTTACATATACCACACAAATTTTTATACATTTTTCAAGTATATAGACGCTGTCTGGATGTCGTAAAAATGCTATAAAACAATACAGTATTCATATAAATTATCGGTTATTATGACTTGCATTGCCTTCGACGTCGTTATAAAGGTTTTATTTCTTTTAGATGCAAAATAACAGGAGTGACATGCAGTTGCGAGGCGCGCGATATCTTCTGGTGTCAACACGTGGTAGCCCTCGCACTCTACCGCATCCGGAATGCAGACTCCGTGCGTTTACGAGTGCCTATATCAGGTAACTAGCTGTAGGCGACACCATCCGCTCTTATTTAAAAAAAAACTCTATTAGTAGACTATGTGTTCTTCCAGACTATGTTCTACATCTGTGCGAAATTTCATCGAGATCCGTTCAGCTGTTTTGGAGATACCTTTCAACAAACATCCATCCATACATTTTTATAATATTAGTAAGATGTATATTATACTACGTAACACATAAGTTTACGCTGATAAATATAAGCGTCGCATTTATATGATAAAACCCATTGAAATAAATCCTTCTTGCCCTTCTATGAGATCCTAGTACCTCACTCCAGCCGATCACTGACCGTTTTACATTTGTTCATTCCAGAAACCCTGCTGCAAATGGACCGTCAGCAGCTGCAGAAGTTCGTGCAATACTTAATAGCAGAACACCATACAGAAGTGCTACCTACCGCCCAGCGGTTAGCTGACGAAGTTTTACAGGCGCGGTCCGCTATCAATAGGATTTGCGGCGCACCAGACCCCACAGCTGGACCACCACCTGATGCACACCACGCTTGGCATCTAGATGAGCAGCAGGTAATAATATGAAAATGGTAAACAGGCCGTCTACATTATGCTTGATGCGGCGGAATGGCCGAACTGGTCTGAAAAGTAGAACGCCATCCCAGATATCGGACTGACTGGCTTATTGGCTTCTGCGGCCGTTAGCATTTTGCCAGTTGTATTGTCAGCGCTGATTTCGAGCGCTACTTGCTTACTAAGCTGGCCTAATGTAAACGAGGCATAGCATTAAGTTTTCACGCGAGTCCCTCCGCACGTAATTTAAAAAAAAGTTAATTAGTTGTGTTCTTACAGACCATGTTCTACATATATGACAAATTTCAGCGAGATACATGCAGCCGTTCTGGAGATACTTAATAACAAACATCTATCCTATGTCACGCGAACACTTAGTCTGAATATTTTAAAATATTTGAAGACAGTACTTATAAAGCAATTGTGTACGGTCTTCATAATAAATTAACGATTAATTTCCTATTCCAGGTGTGCGAACAGGTTCGAGCGTATTTACTACAGGGAACCTACTACAATGCGAATAAACAGTTAAACTCCTTGTTTTCTAAGGTATTTATTTGAACTCGATATCTCTAAATACTTCATTATAAAGGCAAATGTACAGTTAGCAAAACATATTATCATCCTTCTCATGATATAAAAGAGATTAAAAAAGAGACAATTACTTACTTAAAAAAATCACATGTTTAACAACATCATCAGCTCACTATACGTCCCCACCGAGGGGCTCGGAGCCTAACCTAAGTTACGGGTGACTAGGCCATAGTCAACCACGCTGGCCAAGTGCGGGTTGGTTGACTTCACACATATCTTTGAATTTCTTCTCAGGTATGTGCAGGTTGCATCACGATGTTTTCCTTCACTGTAAGAACGTCGGATAAATGTACATATGTAAATCAGAAATCGAAAAACACATTGGTACATGGCGGGATTCGAATCCAAAACCTGCAGATTGCAAGTCAAGTTGACCCCTGAGCCACCGACTCCTGTTTGACATACGTCGACTTTTGTTCTCTTTGACTCATGTTTAACTTACGTCTACTTTTTTATACCCTGACTATAACCCTAGGATTTTTGATAAATCATGGCTATTGAAAATATTAATATACGTAGGTACATGCGAAATTAGTTGTTGCGCAATAATTACATACTTATATTAATAGTGTGGTGACAAATCTGTGATAAAACATAACCATTTTGACGTCCATAATATCCTTCATCGGCTTCCAAAAGGTTAAAACACGTGTTTAACTAAACAGTGTCTAAACCCTTTTAGGTGCGAGAAATGCTAAGAGCACAGGACTCGAATGGTCCTCGTATGCTTATGCTGATGACGGAACAGTTCCTATCGGACCCTCGCCTGCTACTATGGAGGAATCAGAACACGCCGATGACGGAGAAGTGTCGCCAGCTGTGGGAGCAGCTGGGCGCGCTGTGGGTCAGCATAGTCCTGGATCCCGGCAGCAACAAGCACCACAGACATCAATGGAGACAACTGCTGGACAAGTGGTCAGCTGTTGAAGTGTGTCCCACTGAAGATCCAGACTATAGATCTTTTCCCTTGGTGAGTTATGTACAGAATTTTTATCTGTCATATTCTTATAATTATTCCTAATGCAATTTATACTAAAAATCTTTACTGATTATGTTAATACTAGCTGTCGCCCACGCCTTCGTCCGCGGGGATTTAAAAAAAAACATAATTAGTAGTCTTGGTGTTCTTCCAAACTATGTTCTATACGTATGCTGAATTTCATCGAGATCCGTTCCGGAGATACATTCAAACAAACATCCATCCATACATCAAAACATTCGCATTATTTTTAATATCTCGGTTGTCTTATTCCAGTACGCGAGAGAAAGAGAAAGAAACGAGAGAGATCGCGACAGAGATCACAGGGACAGAGATAGAGAGAGAAATCGCGACCGAGAGGAGAGGGACAGAGAGAGACTGCGAGAGAGAGAAGAAAGAGACAGGTATAGAAAACATATAACCTTCTTTCTTTGTCCGTCTGTTTACGTATTTGATATTTATGGATATTTTTTTTTTCAGAGAAAGACATAGAGAGAGACAAAGAAGAGATATGCATTCCCATTCAGAGAGTTCCGATGAAGAATCTAGGCCTAATAAGTAAGAAATTACATAGTTTTGCTTCAACTGAAAATTAACCAGAAGTACATTTTTGAAGCGTCGGTGGCTCAGGGGTCAAGCACTTGACTTGCAATCTGCAGGTTCTGGGTTCGAATACCGCCATGGACCAATGTGTTTTTCCATTTCCGATTTACATATGTACATTTGTTCGACGATGTTACAGTCACATATCTGAGAAGAAATTTAAAGATATGTGTGAAGTCAACCCGCACTTGGCCAGCGTGGTTGACTATGGCCTAATCACCCTTAACTTAGGGTAGGCTCCTCGGTGGGGACGTATAGTGAGCTGATGATGATGATGACATTTTTGAAAGTAGTAAAAACGTATTATAATACTATTGTTTATTGCAGCTATGAAAGAGAATATAGAAGAGCCAGTAAGAGACTTAGACTGCACAACCAGAGACCACAGATTCAAACAACGCCACGGACTGTCTTTCACAAGTTAGTCTTTGAAATAAACATACAAATTATATTACAGTTTTACTTACGGCAAAATTCATTAAAAAAATAAACTTTTTTCTCAGGGCGTTAGATGCAGTGGATATATCATGGGAGAGCGAGCATCTGAAGAACATTCTCAGCAGTGACGAGTACTGTGACCCTGAGAAGCCGGACAAGGCGGGCGGAGCTGGACCCGCGCTTGCAGCCGTCACCCTGCAGCCTTACCCCAAGTTCAATGACCTCGGACAACCCTTGTGGCATGGTCAGTATACTGGAAACTCTGTTACAACTTTGTCCTCTCTAACTAGAATGCTGGAGGTTTAATTTCAGTCTTCTTCCTATCCCTTTCTTATAAGGAACGATCTATGTAACCGCTTTACCGTCACGGTGAAGGGGTTACATGGAAAATTCTCTCTTCCGTCGACTAGATAGGTAGGTAACGCATCCGATGTTGCCGATTTTTATGGTGTCAGCGGTCGTTTTGCTATTTCTCCGAATTCAGGTCGCTGTATATCATTTGTCACCTTTTTTATTATAAAATTTGAAGCGATAACAATTAAGTAATGTATATATGTTGCAGAACATCTGCCGGTAGTGGGCGCGCGTATAGAGGCGCTGCGTGCACACGGGCGCGCCCCCGCCGCACTGCGCCTCGCTGTCAGCGCCGCGCGCGCCATGCGCCATCGACAGGTAACTAATCAACAAAGAGAAAGTAAAATAAACTGTTCATATCCTGCTCGAAGGACCATACAAAGTGTGAATGTGTGTGTGTGTGTGTGTGTGCAGGAGGTGGCTCAGCAGCGATGGGCGAGCGCGGGGGCGAGTGCGGGTGAGGGCGAGGCGGCGGGCAGCAGCACGTGCGCGGCGAGCGAGTCGTGCGGGGGGCAGTGCGAGCGCGCGCGTCTGGCGGTGCTGTGCGCGCACATGGACGCCGGCGCCTGTCTGCCCAGCGGACACACATGCGCGCTCTCACACACGCAGCGATGCATCGGACGAGGTAACACAACCACACATCCTACTCGACATTGTCTTCTTACTCCCTTAGTATTATACAAGGCGACGTAAATCATCTATTTTAGTCGATAGGCAACTTATGCGTAGGCGAATTCTCGCGAAGCAACCATACGATACAGAATCTGACAGTTGGCACGTTACGTAGTAAAGTACTCTACTTCTCGGCGTGCCAAATGATATGCCGAGTATTATAATTGCCTATCTATTTTTAGTAACTATAGTGGCGTGTTGTTAACGTGTGTGTGCGTGTACAGACAGCAGGGGGTGGACGGGGTGGGCGCTGGAGGCGGTGTGGTGCGTGCACGAGTGCCTGGCGGACGCGTGCCTAGCGCCTGATGACCAGCGCGCCTCTCCCCGCCTGCACACCTACATGGACGAGGAGCCCGCCACCGGCCTACCGCCTAGGTACGCGTCACTGCACTACAAAATGTGTTTTATATAGCTTTTTATTATGCCAGTACAGCAAGGGACACCAAGCGCTGGCATATAACTGAGAGAAACAAACAAACCACGCAAGCCAGCGTTACTGTCTTACTGTACTGGTATAATGTAAACTGAGCATAACGTTATTTTGTAAACGTAAATATTGCTTAGTTAATGAATTTATTAATTACAGTGTGTTTTAAATGAACTGTAGATATCAACACGTGCCGGTGGCGGGCAGCAAGAACCCTGAGGAGACGTACCTGGCGCTGGCGCTGGAGGCGGCGCTGCTGGGGCTGGGCATGCAGCGCATGCTGCCCACTGGACTCTACGCGCAGGAGCGCTACTGCAAACAGGTACACCACATTCAAAGATAGAGTCCGCACCAGCATTTACTGCTGCACAAATGGCTCGCTCATCATCAGCTCAATATATGTGCTCACTAAGGGGCTGGAAGCCTACGCTGATTCTCTATGGAAGTAATTTCATGGTTCCTGTTGTCCCCTTCTTACTCTTCTTTATTAAGGAGGACAATGATATTCCAATGAAATGTGGGTATAATGGGGATTGTTGTGCAGGAGGAGCGTCTGATAGCGCAGCTGCAGCGCGTGGAGGGCGAGGCGGTGGGCGGGGTGTGCGCACGTGCTGCGGCCGCGCTGCTGGCGGGCGGGCCCAGCTCGTGCCTGGGCGCGCGCCTGCACCCCCGCTCCGCGCCCGCACACACCTTCGCCCGCTACCTCTTCCTGGCGCTGCTGCCCAGCGACCCCGACCTCGCGTACCGCGTCGGACTGCGCGCTATGAGGTAAACGCATCGCTAAAATGATGATAACCAATTTATAATTCTGCGCTGAACGCTAGATTTCCATTCATTTTCCTCTCAGATATAGTCTTTAACTAGGAATAATTTTCATCTTCTTTTAAATTGTTGTGATTTTTACTAAAATAAATATAATAATGTGTCGTATATCACTATTGTGTAGGTTACCTATGGTGGAGGAGGCGTACGCGCTGGACGGTGGCGGGGCGTGCGGCGCGGCGTGCGGTGCGGGGGCGGGCGCCTGGCACACGCTGCAGCACGCCGAGCAGCAGCAGGCCGCGCTCGCCAGCGCACTGCTCGGTATGACGGGTTTTATATCCTCACCATTGTTCAAGCAACATTCATTCCACTATTCTTAAGTTATAACTTCATCTTGTGAGATTTATGTGTAAAGATAAATTTCTTATAAACTTCCGATAAATTTTGTAGGAATATGTTTTGCTGGAGATTACATCATTTATTCGGGGTTTTAGTGTTTACTTCTCAATTTGGAATATAGCATTAATTAGATGCATGTGCGCAGGCGCAGCCCGGGGTACTCCAGCACGTCTGCGCGCGGCGCTGGCGGCTGCGCAGCGACACGTGCGGTCTGCTGCGCAGTTGTTCCGCCTGGCGCAGGACGCGCTGCGCCACGCTGCGCCGCCCGACGCCCCGCACCATCACCGGGACTTGCTCGCTGCGGCATTCGAACTCGGACTGCAGGTACCACTTAATGACTCTGAGTAACCTCGCCTCGGTTTAACCAAAACAGATTTATGTAATTATGTTATGTATAGGTGCTGCGTATGACGCTGTCGTCTGTGAACTGGCGGCGACGAGAGATGGTGCGCTGGCTGGTCACCTGCGCCACAGAGCTCGGCCTCGACGCGTTGCTCTCCATCATGCAGAACTGGTGAGGACTTCAGACATAAACACAACAACTTTAACTACTATTATCGATTATTTTGTCAAGTAAAACTTTACTTAGACAATATTTATTATCAGGCATCTAAAAAGTGGTTTTATTATTTAAAATAAAAACGACATTATTCTCCGATGACGATGAAGCGACGTGAAAGCTCATTGTGAGTGAATGTTGTAGGTACGAGCTGTTCACCCCGACGGAGGCGACAGGTCCTGTGGCTGCGGCGGCGATGTCTCACGCCACCGCGCTGCGTCTCGGCCTCAGCTTCGAGCAGCAGGAGAAGCTCAGCGCATGCGCACGCACGCTCGCCCTGCAGTGCGCCGCCAAGGTACTAAACATTACAGGCATTAACAAGAAAATTCTAGATGTATTCAAAAAGTGGTGGGGGGAGATTTTCAGAAAATTCTTTGTCTTAGAAAGAAAGACAGTTATGTGACATTTTCACTTACTAACATTCGCTCGTAAGGTGTCAAGGGAAAGAAAAATTGAGCCTAAAATAACACATTCAACGCTTTTGGCCTCAACAAATGAACTCAAAACATAAGACAGTCAAATGGGAACAATTCAGAGTTTCCCCTGACGAGCAAGTGCTGGCCTAAATTTGAGCATTTTCTCCTTCCCACCATTATAATAATGAGGAATTTTTCTCTTTCTATGGGTCCCCTCTTCCGTCGATAAAAGTTAGGTAACGCATCTACAACTGCATATAACTATAGGTAGTAGACATTTCGCTATTTCGTCGAATTCAGTTTGCTCATTTACCACTTACTACTAAAACTAGTGTGTACAAGTTATTGTAGGTATGTACTATTGTCAGGACCCGCCGGGGTGCGCGCTGTCTGCGCTGTCAGTGTGCGAGGGGTCTGCGGGCGCGTTCGAGGCGGCGTGCGCGGCGGTGGGCGGGGCGGCGGCACGCGGCGCGCTCGCCTCCAGCCAGCTGTTCGCTGTGGCGCGGTACATGGAGCAGCGCGGACAGCCCGCCCGCGCCATGCGCCTCGCCACACTCGCCATGCGCAACCTGCATCTCCACTACAACCAGGTAACATCTCTCACTTGCTGCTGACATCCGGCTCGAAGGACTTTAACATCATAAGCAATATATAGAATAAGCTGTCATCCGTCCATCTGACTTAAAAAAAATAATTAGTAGCCTATGTGTTCTTCCAGACTATGTTCTACATCTATGCCAAAGCGAGATCTATGCAGCCGTTTTAAAGATTTATAATATTTGTATAATTTGATACTCCACTTGATTTACTTAACTGCGTTGGA